AAAGTGTCCAATGACAAAATGAGAAGAGTAAGTAGCTGTAAATGCATCCAACACTAGGGGAAGAAAAAGGCGACATTTCGAACTTTTTCTTGAAATATCTGGATAAATAGTTGGTTTGTTCACATTCTCATTATCAAATTCGTATCAAATAAGTACCAAAAACAATTTTCGAGAACAAATCCATTTTATGATAAATGCAGTTTTACCGAATAAACTAATTCAGTGCGACACTGGTTCATAAAAGTATTCGTCCTACTATAATTAACTTTTTAATTCAGAAATTGCGATATGTTTGGTCGATTCGAATAATCATTCAACCAATAATACACATTTTAGATTCTTAATATGAATGTCATTTTCTCTGTTCTATAGTCGAGGTTCTAGTAGTACTGTTGGACGTTCACAAATAAAACGAAAAACAGATAACCTGGCAGGAGATCTAGAATTCATTTATACAGGGTGTCCCGAAATTAGCCTGCCAAACTCCACCAGCGGCTTCTTCGACCAAAAATAGGATGAACATGAGAAATGTTTCCTGAGGGAGCTACAGTCCCCTGAAAGGGGGTTCCTGAAGATGATATTTCTTGAATATTTCCGAAACGCCATATGACAAAATGATGCAATTTGGTAGAAGAACTAAACTTCCCATGCCCAATGCGGTGAACATAGAATTATTTCGAAGTTTCATTCAGGAGTGTATAATACAGGGTGGGACTACATTGAGTATTACTCAAACTTTTTCGTATGCATATTCTTTTTTCAATTTAATCTCGGATTATGAAAATCCACACTGTTTCACAAAAAAAGGTGCTCTTGTTCCGCACCGATCAAGTGTATCATTTTCGAGTGAAATCGATTTGATAATATTGATGCACTCACATCTTATGCATAACGTTGCCAATTTCCAAATCATAGTGGCTATAAAAAAATCGAGTACTCTCTCTTTACCAAACAATCTCATGAAAGCGCGAAAAACAGAAGGATGATGATGAAAAAATGACTCCAATTTTTGTGCATTTTTTTCCATTTCCACGTAACAATATTTTTAAATTGCTTCTACTCGGTAATAATACATCTGATCATCACAGAACACAAGTACCTTTTTTTTGTGAAGGGGTGCGAAATTTCATAATCCGAGATTAAATTGTCGAAAATTATGCATACAAAAAATTTTGAGCAATATTCAATGTAGTCCCACCCTGTATTATACACTCCTGATTGAAATTTTGAAATGATTTAACCTTCACTGCATTGGGCATGGAAAGTTTAGTTCTTGTACCAAATTGCATCTTTTTATCACATGGAGTTTCGGAAATACTCAAGAAATATCACCTTCATGAGCCCCCTGTCAGGGGGCCATAGCTTCCTCGGAAGACATTTCTCGACTAATGTTCATTGAAAGTTTCCATTCTATTCTTGATAGTGAAAGCTGCTGGTGAAGTTTGGTAGGCTCATTTCGGGACACCCTGTATATTGGGGATAGATTGGGGCTCCGAATGATTTCAAAATCAGAATACTAGAGTCAAAAATCAAGCAAATTAATCAGAGCAAAGCAGTGTGGATGAAGTTCTCCGAGATCGAGAGAATTTATTTTATCCGGGAATTGATGTATTAAACTGTCTTGCTTATTGAAAGAATCATAAACTTAGGAACCTCACTATAGAACTGTCTTCTATTGCCTTTTAATGCTAAGCAATATGCCATCTGACGGAAAAAACTTGCATCAATATCATGTGACCAGCAAGTGTGAATTGTTTGTTTACACACTGCATTGTGCATTTGTGTGATGATAATATTTGTTTTAAGGCCGATTCATGCAACAGTCATTATGATTACATTTTCATTACATTATAAATTAAGAATGTTGAGAACTCCTATGTCATTGAATGCGTTCATGCAACACATTAAGACATTTTCATTACATTTTCATCACATTAGTTCACTAAGAAGTTGACCAACTTCTAACTTTTCATTATAATTACATTATAGTTCTAGTGAAAACGACTGATTTGCAAGATTAGATCATTGAATGATTATTTTTTCCACAAAACTTCTTGTGATTCACCTCAGATATTATATTCAAAATAAAGCCATATTCTCAAATAACCTGTAAACATTTGTAAAATCCAAGCAGATCACATAACCTCGAATAATTAGTTCATTATGAGCATGAGTTGCATGAACGGGTAGCCCGCGGCTAGTGAAAATGTAATTTTAATGTAGTGAAAATGTAATTATAATGAATGTTGCATGAATCCGCCTTCATGAGTGATTACTGATTCGATAAGAGTGAAAATGACCAGCAGAGCAAATTGTTGTGCACCTGGATGCAACTCTGTGTATAAAAAAAAAATTTACTATTCATCATTTCCCAAGTAAGGATCAGAGAGTTGAGCATATTGGAGATTCTGGAATGGCAACTTTGGTTAATAGGAAGAAACTGTGGGAGATCTAATTGAAAATAGGAAGGAGAGTTACCAAAAACATGAGAGTTTGTTCCAAACATTTTATTGAGGAAGATTTCATGACTCTGCAATCAGCAATCACACTTGGCGTCAAAATTCTTAGTTTTTTGACAGAATGACAGCGCAAGATAATGAAGGTTTAATGTTGGGTTCAAAGGTCAATACCTTCAAAAAGTTTCGTTTTTATCAATCCAATTTGATTTTTTGACAACTTTGAACAGTCATTCCACATCATTCCTTGTAGGGGGACGTAATGAAAAGTAGCAACCGGAATCGGAATAGTTTCAAATAAAACGACAGACACATAGGAGTGATTCTGGTGGCGGAATCGGACAAATAAAACGCAACTAAAGGCTGTGTCTCACGGTCCAACAATTTGATCAAACTACAGATTTGTGATGTCATCAGTGACTTTACGTCAGAATGCAGCTGAAGTTTAGAACTTGTTCTAAATATTTGTCATGTTGTATCTAACAATAAGATTAGGATGTTTGTTTTCATGTTTTCTTCATTGATTATTATTCTATATCTCAACACGTTGAGCGCCAAGCCAAATTTTGAAAAAAGTCGTTATGGGCCGAAATGATTTTTTGATAGATATTGAGCATATATAAGTGGTGTGTGAACCATTTTGTGATATTCTTCAAAACAAAAATATTATGTGAGCTCATGAGGTGTAGGTCCCATAGGACCTACGCGGTCCACCATACTATGAAATGCTGTTACTGGACCGTTGGTCCCACTGTTCAATGAAGTAAACGGCCGTTTTCGCCGTAAAAACAGGATCTAGCCAGGCAGTAAGGCGGTTCTGTACGAATTGCTATAAGATGATTGCTGCAAAAGATGGACGAAAAGTTGCCCAGAATAGGACCAAAAAAATCACCACGTATTGTGATGATTGCGAGGGAAAGCCAGCACTTTGCCTAGATTGTTTCAATCTATTACACTAAAAACTGTTTTTTGACGTATACATGTGACATTATCTATATACTTTTATTCCATTTCATAGTTCAATTCTCTTATTTTCATTACTGAAAATTTAATAAAGAATAGTTATTTATTATACAAGGGAAAAACGTAGTAGATTTTAGCTCCAGGTTGTGTGAGACAAAAAACCGTGAGCTAAAATCTAATATTTTTCCCGTGTATAATACACTATTTCTTTCTGTGACAGAAGAAAGGACGAATCGATATTGAGAAGATATTACATTATTTTGAAATCTGCAAATTATCGACGTGAAATTTCAAGTTTTTAACAATAGGGGCACCTGCGTTGTAGGCATCTTTATCATTCTTTGGAAGCAATCAAATATCTGATGTCACTTTTGTCAGTCTTATTCTGTGAATTGATTTCAAAAAATTGCGAATTTAGTGGTTATTTAGTAATATACGTAACCGCGAAGTCGAATGGAAGATAAAAGGACTTGCAGTTCTTTCTCGGAGATGGTACTATTGACTCATTTTTCGGAACTATAGCATAACAAAAGCCATCAACAGTGTATCTATATGTGATATATGTCCGGAAAAGAAGTACTCGCTTTTTTCTCACGGAAAAAAAGTAATTTATGGGAAGTGACATTTTATAACCAGACCAACAGAGATGAAATACCAAACTTTTTTTCCGTCACAGAAAAAAATATTTATTTATATTTCGACAGTGTTTTTCGAACCTGGAGACCACATTCACATGTAAACAGAAATTTCGTTGTACGTGTAGAAATTAAATAGACACCCATACCATCAAACACTTTATCGAAGAGTCCCAACGGTCCAAAATTAATATAACAAATGTTAACATAGTGTAGGTCCGTGTGGCCCTACGCGGTCTGAGTGAACCATAAGCTGACGGTCCCTTGGGATGCTCATGGCGCTCAACGTGTTAAGAATTAACAAGAAATACTATCATTAATCTTATCAATGCTTAAAAACTGCCTGTCCTGGTAAATGGACTGAGGATCATGTCCGATAATTATTGAAATATTTTTGTCTTGCTCCAATCCCAAATGTATGCTTGGTTGACTAGAGACTTCGTTACCTCATTTCTGCAGGTATACGTTCACGCGCATATTATATGGATTGATAAAAATTTAAAACGTCTCCCATCCATTCTCAGGTAGTTTTGAAATTTACAATGGGATATCTTCCAATCTGACTTCATAAAAATCATAGGTAGGACTCCTATACCAATATTTCTTCTTTGAACCCTTAATCATGTAGATATCTCCCTCTTTTTTAAAAATTACTTTGTATTACAAATACAACACAAAATACTTACCACATAATGAATTTATATTTAATTATCCCTTCTGTTTTTTCCCAGAGAACCTACTCCACCCATATTTTTGTTCAAAAATCTTCAAATCGTGTGACAAAGATTTCTTGATATTTCAAATCATTTGAGTTAAACAGGCAAGAATAACGTCACATCAAACAAATTTTATCAAATTGTTGGGCCGTGAGACACGGCCTTAATGAAGAATTCACAATGACAGCTCGAAAGTATTGAAGCACTCGAGTACAAAAACAGAAACTCACCGTTTTTGATGCAGATCAAACCGATGAGGACCAGCAAAAACACTCGAACCGTCGACCCCATTTCGGCTGCGTATCGATTCTTCGGGATTCGGCAAGGAAAACCGGGCAGGATTTTCCACTGTTTTCCAGCGCGGAAAGACCGCAGTTGACGACAGACAGCGTGGAAATGAGCGATTGGGCTTGCGCGAGGGAGCGCGCCAAGCGGAAGTGGCCATTTTGATGTCATTCCGCTGATGCTGATTGTTCGAAGGTGCAGAGGTAATACAGGGTCATTCGATCTCTCGCCTCTCGTACCCAGGCAGGGCCTACCCGGCGAGTACAAAAACATCTCAGAGATGTTACAAGTACGAGATATCGAGACATTGAACCTCCACTGCGATGTTATGTTCACACTTGAATAGAACTTTCATATAACAGCCGATGTTCGCCGCAGGTGGCCTTCCTAAAGATATCATCTCTGGGATGTCACAAAAATACATTCTACCTGGTTTTTGTTGATAGCCTTTTCATGCTCACAAAACAACATTTCCAGAGAGTTTTGCGCACATTTAATCGCAGCAAATAATCCATTCCAAAATTGAAAAAAGATCTGTTTCTCGCCTGCTGGGGAATCGAACCTAGTCTTTCTTGATTTAAATTTTACATTTTATACAAACCTTTTTGATAAATGAAATGAACAGCAAGATGTCAACATGCACTTCATTTCAGTAGGATAATTAGCATTGCGGCTGATGAATAGGGTGGGTCATGGATAGGATAAGTTGATACAAAAGAATAAAACACCATGTCATATTTTGATAGCATATTATTTTGTATGTTCTCAGAATATTCTGAGAATTGAATTTTCATGGAATAATTGTTGCAAGATGAAACTATTGTATGATCATTCTGAGAACATTTCTATCAGAATATTCTAAAATGAGTAAGAAACGTTCTGAAAGTTGTCAGAACATTGGTAGAATATTTTGTGTTGGTTGGGATATTATTATGGACGACATGGTCGTTGGTATTGTATTAATGGAATAATAATTAGGTATAAATATAAACCGGGTGGCTACGGAAGTATTGCCTACGGAATATCTCAGTTATTGTATGAAGTGGGTTTGTGAAATTTCGAGCGTCGATATAAGGACATAAGAGCTAGAATTTGAGCATATTGACATGTCGAAGTTAACTTCCGGTATGACCGGAAGTAACACCAACTTTCTTATTTTGAATGGATACCCTATTTTTTTTTCTTTTCGCTTTATTCAGCAACCAATTCCCTATCTAATGACATATCACGAGTTGGTATCTAACCAGAAACTAGATCAGAAAAAAATTTTTATTGAAATTCACCGAGTAGGCCGTGGAAGCAAAAATGATAGCCAAAAATTGAAAAGTTGGCTATGGAAACCATACGTCACTTGATAACAGTTGCTACTACTGTGACATTTTATTTTCATTCGTCGGCGTTATAAAAAGCCGCCAAAAAAATATTGGAAAAATTGAGAAAAAAACAATACTCTGTAGGTCCATATCTTAAATAGGAACATACAACTTTTTCTTGCCTGTACTTTTCAGCATAACCATTCCCTTCTAATGATATAAAAGAAAGTCATTTTTTGAAATGAAATACCAAAAAATCCAATTAATATTCTACTCGGTGAATTTCAATAATAATTTTTTTCTGATCTAGTTTCTGGTTAGATACCAACTTGTGATATGTCATTAGAAAGGGAATCGAATGCTGAATAAAGCGACAAAAAAAAAATTGTGTTTCCATTTAAAATAAGAAAGTTGATGTTACTTCCGGTTAGACCGGAAGTTAACTTCGACATGTCAATATGCTCAAACTCTAGTTCTTATGTCATTATATCGACGCTCCAAATTTCAAAAACCTACTTCATACAATGACTGATATATTCCGCAGGCAATACTTCCGTAGCCACCCGGTATATAAATGGGTAGTTGAAGTGAGGAGACCGAAATAAATATAAAATAAATTCAAGTTCAATTGTGTGTAAAATGGTGTAGTTATTGAACAAAATTTCGAGAACCATTATGAAAACTGATGGAAATTATAAATGTATATATTGAATATCTAGAATTCACCTTTCAAGGCAGGCTATGCCCTATATGTCTTGAAATGACATCCACATGTCAACATTATTTTTATTTCTCTCATATACCTCTCAGTAGGCAAACAAAGAAATTCCACAGAGGAACAAAAACAATACTTTCAATATCCTTTGATGTCCTCTTTGTATATACCTCTCAAAAAAACATCCCCACGCCAACATTTTCAAAACATCCCAAAACATCCCAGGGATGTTTGTGCTCGCTGGGTACTCTATCTCACCGGGCCGCAGCATCACTTTCGTGACGTCACACAAGTAGGGACAGAATCGAGGAGCTGGAAATTGCGTAATCCAAATCATTGATGTACCACGAAAAAACGATTATCAAAAAATGTCAAGAGATCGAATATGTACAGACTAGACTTATTCAAGTCATGAACCAATATTCACTGATTTATGATTAATAGTTCAAGAAATATAGCATATCAAGATGAATTGACCACATTCAGGATTGTAATTTTTCAAACAGCTGCTAGAATTTCAATACTCAGTTCACAGAAATGATTCAACCATGCAAAGGATCCTCATAGTATCTAGATTGACTGTAATTTTTTTCAAAATTCCCAAGAGCCAATAATCAACCGATATTTCAATTCAAGTAAAATGGTGTTTCAGATGATTATTACTAGTTCGAAAAGTGGCCCCCCATGCTAAACCTATTGTGGATACATGCTGTCACTGACTTTTTTGTAGTAAATTTCATTACCTACAAATGGATATGATTCACTTTTACTGTATCTCAGAGGATTTCAGCAGCGTTTATGTCTAAAGATAATCTGGACACACTTCGAAGACGTTAGAAATTATATATATACCTACCCAAGTAGAAGTTATTACGCAAAAACCCTGACAGCAAATTAATTATTTTCAGCTATGGAGTATATATTTTAGGAATAATCTCATATTAATGAAAATAAATTAATTCGAATACATTTTCAAAATGTGAAAATTGTAAATAACGAAAAATATGTAGTTCTCATACACGCAATACTGAACGAAAGCCATTCTGAAAATATTCAACATAATAAAAGAGCAAGAATATCCAGATATTACAAAATACCATGTACTTATAACAAAATATATACAGGGTGTTTCTTAAGTACGTGTAGAAAATTCAGGAGCATGTTGCTGACGTCAAAATAAGAAGAAAAGTTTTCATAAACATATGTCCGAAAGTTATTCGTTTCCGAGATACAGAGTGTCGAAGTTGAATTCTTATTTTTGTTTCTTGGTGATAAATTCGAAAAAAATTGTCATATTCGAATGAAGTTTGGTATCTAGGGGTACTTCTCGATGACAATATCAAATTGTTTGTTAGTTTGTCACTTTCGTGGGAGTGGCGCCTCCTACATGTCTTTTGAGTCTTCTGAAAAGTAATAACTTTTTTGAGCGTACCTCTATAACGTTTTAGAGTAGAAAAATAGATTTCTTGAACACTTTTCTGTGAAAAATTTATTCCTGGTAGAGGTCGCTGCGAGCAACTGTTTTCTACAGAGACTGCATTTAACACAGTGACGACAATGGCATGTCATCTTTTCTATTGGTCGATAGAAATCCGCCATGTTCAGGCAAAATCCGCGGCAAATTTGAATGACTTGAACTTTGTGTTGAAAATAGTAGTGTTTTTCTGTGGTTTTCCTGTTTTTTTCTCATGCAGAATTATTTTCCATTCAATCAAATATTTTTACTGAACATAATATTGGCAAATTAAAAAAAAAATTTAATGATCATAATAATAATGATTTATGTAATAATTAAGAAATCCGCTGTCCGCCATGTTTAGGCAAATTCCGAGGCGCTAAATGATTTGAAGATTTGAACTTTGTGTCAGAAATATGTCAGTGTTTTTCTGTGGTTTTGTTGTTTTCCTCATGCAGTATTATATCATTTTCTATTCGATCAAGATCAAATATTTCTGCAGAACATAATATTGGTAAGTTAGGAAATATTTTTAATAATCATGGTTTAACCTCATTTATTTATTTTTCTAGATTTTCTACCTCCATTTTTATGAGTTGCATATTTATTTTAATGAGACTGGAAAAATGTAGTATGCAGATTTGCAATGACTTTATTGAATTGGACAGATTGGGTGATCCAATAAGTTATGTCAAAGCTCCTAGAAGCCTCTTATGAAGACTTTGCATGCAAGATGGATTCCTGATGTAATATATGATATGTTTTCCATAGCTCCAGCTACCCCATGTGATTGAGAAGCACTTGAGAAGCTATAGAATACCAAACATATAAAGAAATAATCAAGCAGTGACTTGAAACAGCATGAAATTATAAATACTTGAAGTATGTGCTTTGAAACTGTAGAATTATCAGTGTATGTGTATTGTGAAGTTCATGGAACACAATGTAGAATATTGGTGGACAATGACAATGTGATGAAAATAGTAAAAAACTACTCATTAATACAAAAAGACATTGATTTGCACAAAGTGGATGCATATTGTCAGTCAGAATGACTAGTAGGATGTTTTGTTTGTATAAAAATGTCAGTGATTTCACTATGCTGTATTTTGACTATGATTTTGACAATATTAATTATCAATAACAAATAATTTTTATGGAAAAAGTTCATTTTATTTCTCACATATCTCACAAATATACTGCCAGACACACATAGGTAATTGATATTAATCAACACTGATGATTAGTATAGGTATATTTTCTTACATCTATGTAGTAATTTCACCATTATTATAGTTATTAATTTACTGATATTCGATTAGTTCTCCTGAACATAACAAATTAGGTATGATTTAACAAAATGATCATCATTATAAAATACAAAATTAAACTGGAAACTACAAAAATTCACAAATCTCTTTCCCTAGTAGATAACAGAGTCACATACCAACTAGAAAGTGGATTCAAAATGATGTTTTCACACCATATAATATCTTATCTGATATGTGTCCTAGAAAGTACATAAAATTTTGATTGATTCCAAGCAAGTAAACATCTAGTCCATTCACATTTTTCATTTCCTTAAACAAATCTTATGGACACACAACACCTACACATTTAGTAGAACTGGCAAGCCCTATATAGTCTATTCATAGAATCAAAATGGTCAGTTCTTGGATTACCAATT